GTCTGAAACAGTCTAGGGCCTCCTGCCCAAGCAGAGGGTTGGACTAGTAGATCTCTGAGGTCCCTTCCAACTCTCTTATTCTCCTCTTCCTCTTCCTCTTCTGTTCTATTCTATTCTATATTCTATTCCGTTCTATTCTGTTCTGTTCTGTTACATATTCCATTCCATTCCATTCCATTCCATTCCATTCCATTCCCTATTCTATTCTATTCTATTCTATTCTATTCTATTCTATTCTATTCTATTCTATTCTATTCTATTCTATATTTTCTATTCTATTCTATTCTATTCTATTCTATATTTTCTATTCTATTCTATTCTATTCTATTCTATTCTATATTCTATATTTTCTATTCTATTCTATTCTATTCTATTCTATTCTATTCTATTCTATATTTTCTATTCTATTCTATTCTATTCTATATTTTCTATTCTATTCTATTCTATTCTATATTTTCTATTCTATTCTATATTCTATATTTTCTATTCTATTCTATATTCTATATTTTCTATCCTATTCTATTCTATATTTTCTATTCTATTCTATTCTATTCTATTCTATTCTATTCTATTCTATTCCATATTCCATTCCATTCCATATTCTATTCTGTTCTGTTCTATTCTATTCCTATGTATTTCAATGTATTTATTATTCCAGCTTGAACCTCACTCCCATCAGAGTGATTCTTACTGGTTAGCAACAATCCCCTACGGAGGAAAGGAAACAAAATGTAACACAATCAAAGGGAAACTATTATACCCCATCTGATATGACCCTTTCTGGAGGATGTATGATCCTCCTTTCTCCTCGAAACTATCCTAAAAAGCTACATTTTTACACTTCCTTGATAAACAGGATCTGGAGGGACCAGTTCTGCCATGGGAGGGGGACACCACCAAGGACGTTCTGCTAAGGGATCCCGTTCCCACTCAGGACATTTTGTCCCCCTCATCTTGGCCGATGGGCATCATGGGTAGTCTTGGAAATGATAATAATAATAATAATAATAATAAAGTTGGAAGGGACCTTGGAGGTCATCTAGTCCAACCCCCTGCTCAGGCAGGAAACCCTATACCATTTCAGACAAATGGCTGTCTAGTCTCTTCTTAAAAACTTCCAGTGTTGGAGCATTCACCGCTTCTGGAGGCAGGTGGTTCCACTGGTTAATTGTTCTCACTGTCAGGAAGTTTCTCCTTAGTTCCAGGTTGCTTCTCTCCTTGGTGAGTTTCCATCTGTTGCTTCTTGTCCTGCCTTCAGGCGCTTTGGAGAATAGCTTGACTCCCTCTTCTTTGGGGCAGCCCCTGGCAGATGCCTCCAGGCTGCTGAACAAAAAATCCTGGCAGAGGCTGGACCTGGCAGATGTTTGGTGCCAACTGGAGACCCGTGTTGGGCAGGAGAGAAAAATGCCTCTCCTTCAGACTTGTTCCAGCCGAGGGCCTCGGGGGGAGGGCAGAAAAGCAGCTGCTTCAGCCTCATTACTGTCAAACAGACTCAGACTTGCCAAAAACGAATCCCTTCTTTGAAGTAATAGGAAATACTTGTAGCTTTGGGGGATTTCAGATTTTGGCTGTGGTTCGTTCGTCTCCGAGCTTGTCTTAATATAATTCCTGAACGTTTCGTTACCAAATTGGGAAGATCATCAGCAGGTGAGAGTGTTACTTAGTTTGGTAATGAAACGTTCAGGAGTTATATTAAAACAAGCTTGGAGAAGGAACCACAGCCCAAAAATGAATCATTTCTCTCTCTCTGGAGTCTCCCCTTTGAGGTTTTCTGGTAAAATAGCAAAGGAGGGGGTGGGCATATTCTGCAGACCTTGAAGGAGACCCTAAAGGAGTCCTAGTGGACGATCCCTGGATCATGAGCCAGCCGTGTTGCAGCCGCCGCCAAAAAAGCTAATACAATCCTGGTGTCAAAAGAACTTCGAGGCGTTGTTTACCTTAAAGAATCTTTTATTCGGGAAACAAAGTATCGGCACTACGTAGTTGAACCCAAAAACTGAATTCCCCTCCCCTAGGCACAAAGTAACAAAGTACAATTCCCTCCTCCCATAAACAGTCATAAATCACATTCCCCAATTAGCTTGAAGCGCAGGCTTCCTCCCCAGCTCTCCAGCCTGCCAAAACACTTTCAACTCTGGGCCCAATGTCCTTGGGTTCCCACGGCTGAGCTATTATTGTTATGACTAGCTCAGGGATAGGCAACCCAAAACACTCAAAGAGCCACTTGGACCCGTTTCCCACCGAAAACAAAACACTGGGAGCCGCAAAACCCTTTTGACATCTAAAATGAAGATAACACTGCATATATCCTTTTTTACCTTTATTATATGTGTGTGTGTGTGTGTGTATGTATGTATATATGTGTATATATATATGTGTGTGTGTGTGTGTAGGTCTTTGGTTATTCGGGTTTTCTCCCGCGTAGAATTGGAAGTGTCTTGGCGACGTTTCGACGAAGTTACATTCGTCATCTTCAGGCTGGTGTTGACACTTCCAGTTCTACGCAGGAGAAAACCCAAATAACCAAAGACCTACATACAAACACCCGCGAAAACCTCAGAAAACAAATATATGTGTGTATATATACACATACATATCCAAATTTCTTTTTTCTGACAAAGAGTAAAGAATTAAATTGGGAGACTAAGATGGACCATTTCTGGCTTTTTTGCCTTCATCAGTTAGCCATACCCTTTATGGGATTCGAACCTGGGCAGTTATACATACTAGGCAGTAATTCACACACACACACACATATACATATGCATATATAATATATATATATATATATATATATATATATATATATATATATATATATATATATATATATATATATATATATATATATATATATAATAAAGGTAAAAAAGGATATATGCAGTGTTATCTTCATTTTAGATGTCAAAAGGGTCTCTCTCCTCTCTCTCTTTCTCTCCCTCTCTCCCTCTCTCTTTCTCTCTTTCTCTCTCTTTCTCTCCCTCCCTCTCTCTGCCTCTCTCTGATCTTCTGCTCACCTGGCAAACTGGCTTCAAGCTGTTCTCCAACAAGCTCAGAGGTAGGCAACCTTGGCTCTTTTATGACTCATGGACTTCAACTCCCAGAATTCCTGAGTCAGCATAGCTGGGCTAGCCAGCTCTCTCCTGCCCTTCCTGCGTCCTGCTTCCTGCAGAGACACAGCAAAGGGAGGAGCCCCACCCAAAAAGCTTTTCAGCTTGTCAGAGAACACTATGAGTCCACTCTCTTTTACACACACACACACACACACACACACACACACACACAGAGAGAGACAGACAGACAGACAGACAGAGAGAGAAGCAGGGAAGCGCAAGTGCCTCTCTCTGTCTCTGTCTCTGTCTCTCTCTGTAAATGGCAGAGGAGGCTAGAAGCCACAGGGGAAGGCATGCAGCTCCGGAGCCGCAGGTTGCCAACCTGTGGACTAGCTGGACTCTCATCCACATTCCCCCCCCCCAGCAGCAACTAATTCTAAAAGCAATAGTGAAAAATGGCTGCATTTCCATCTGTTGTCAAAGCAAGAACGTGGGATGTTAGCAGCATTGACATCTGGGCTGTATAAACAGAGGCACAGAATCAAGATCACTTGATCAAGTACCACTTTATCAAGCCTTAGTAAGGCCACGCCTGGAACACTGCAGCCAATTTTGGTCACCATATCACAAAAAAGGATGTTGAGAGTTTGGAAAGAATTCAGAGAAGAGCAACTAAGATGATCAAAGGAGACTGGAGACAAAAAACATACAAAGAACGGCTGCGGGACTTGGGTTTGGCTAGTCTAAGGAAAAGAAGAATTAGGGGAGACATGATAGCAGTCTTCCAGTATCTGAGGGGCTGCCACAAAGACAAGGGGGTCAAATTATTCTCCAAAGCACCAGAGGGCAGGACAAGAAACAATGGTTGGAAACTGATCAAAGAGAGAAAGAATCTGGAATTAAGGAGAAACTTCCTGACAGTGAGGACAATGAACCAGGGGTACAGCTTGCCACCAGAAATCATGGGCACTCCGTCACTGGAGGTTTTTAAGAACAGACTAGACAGTCACTTGTCCGAGATGGTATAGTTCTCCTACTTGAGCAGGGGGCTGGACTAGAAGACCTCCAAGGTCCCTTCCAGTTCTATTCTATTCTTTACTTTCAGCCCGAAAGTTCTCAAGGCCCACATTTAATCCAAATCGGCCTTTCTCCACCTTGGGGACTTGAAGATGGTTGGACTACAAGTCCCAGAATTCCATTCTGGAGTTGCTTAATTCACGCAGGCATCCATTGAAATCTGCTTTTCTGGTTGATCCCCTCAAGCATCATTTTTGCTAGCGAAGACTGCAGATGCACCCATCCATGGAAGGAGGGGGTGGGGTGTCCACAGAGTTGAAAATGGGCAAGGCTTTGAGTAGACGGTTGTGGCTGCCATCGTGACTTACTCCTCGACGTACGACCACAATTGAGCTCAAAATTCCTCTCGCTAAGCGAGGCAGTTCTTCAGTGAGTTTTGCCCCATTTTACGACCTGTCTTACCACCGTTAGAATAGAATAGAAGGGACCCTGGAGGTCTTCTAGTCCAACCCCCGTTGAGGGAATCGCTGCAGTTGTCAAGTCAGTAGCACGGTCGTTGCGTGAACCCCAGCTTCCCCGTGGACTTTGCGGATTAGAAGGTCGCAAAAGGGCATCACGTGACCCAGGGACACTGCAACCGTCGTAAGTCCATGCCAGTTTCCAAGCCTCCGAATTTTGATCCCATGACTGCAACGGTCGAAAGTGTGAAAAACGGTCATAAGTCTCTTTTTTTTTTTTGTTGTCAGTACCGTTGTAACTTCGAAAGATCCCTAAACCAACTTTTGTTAGTCGAGGATTACCGGTATAAAATTTAAATGTAATTGTGAAGTAAATCCGTGGGCAAAAGCGACGGATCTCTTTTAAGGGTCTCTTTTCGAATCTTGGAAGCAAAATCTTTGGCTTAACCTGCCGGTTGCATTTCCATTTCAGACCCAACGTCTGCGGATCCCGATACCATTCCTACTGCTGTCCGGGCTGGAAAACTCTCCCGGGGGGGAACCAGTGCATCGTCCGTGAGTATAAATGGGGAGGGGTTTTTTTCCGTCTCTTCCCCGGAAGACCCTCTCCTCATGCGGCGTCATTTTCCAAAGATTTTTTTAAAAATATGGGTAAAAATATCCACCAGGTCAAAGTAGATGAGAACCACGTTTTTGCTGTCTTAAAACCTAAGAGGTGGT